CCTTCTTTATATTGGGAACACCAGCAAAGCAGCCCATGAGAATGTAGTCCTGTGTCAGTTAAACTCAGGAATAAATTACAAGAAAACATAAACAAAAACATTACACCTCACTGAAAGATCCCTTGTCCAGATTAAACATACATCTTTAGGAAGATCTCAAAGTACTGCAGCATATTAGTAAAATTTTGCACCTGTTACCATTTTGAACCAGTTATATGTGTTCCATCTTACAGACATGGGAAGCAGCCTAGGAGGTCAGGCAGTTAGAATTTAACTTCATTTAAAGCAGTGGAGAAATTCCACTGAGATTTTTGCATTAGTAAATACAAAAGAGAATTAGTACCAAAGATTTTATAAACTGGAGACTAAGCAATATTCATAACATTGTCTTCACACAACAGATTTTATGAAATGTAGGATTAAGAGAGGACAAAGGGCTTCTTAGCAATGCCTTTCAACTATCTTTTATAATGTTCCAAAATGGTCACAGTGATTCTTGGTAAGCAACATTCTCAGCAAATGTTGTGTTTTAATCAGCAAAAGAGCATGCTAGATGGTAGCAGGTCATACATATGATGATTAATAATAAGAATGGGTTGATAATGCCAATAACTCCAGAGCCAAGAGAAAGTTAGGCATGAGTAAACATCTTTGAAGACAATGTTTGAACCTCTGACCTTGGTGCTTGGAACAGAGGAAGCTGTTTCTCACCTAGTGGACCTAATTATGCCTCAACACTACAGACTACAGAGTCTTAAATCTTTGTGTCAGCCATATTTTTATAGGAAATAGTTTAACTTTGTGTAGCATGTATGAAATATATTTGCAATAGGAACAGATGTAGCTTTCATTTCTCTAACCAATTAAAATCGTAACATTATAAATATAAGATACATATTTGAACCAAGACAAATATCTCAGTCTTCATCAGGCTACAGTGAAAATATCTGAAATAGTGCCTTCTCAAACTTGGACAGGTTTCCTAAAACACAGCATCCATGTTTGCACTTCAGCATATTGTTCTGTGCTTAATCAGATACAAGCACAGTTTGTTTCATCCTTCTAATCTTGATATTTTTCACTTTGCTGTATTTAGCTTAGACTGATTGCTCAGCTAAATATGTAGAATGGTAATTAGTTTAAGAGCATGGTAGATTTACAGAGCAGTTCTACAGTAACTCATTATTGGCTACACTGATCACATGGTGTGCAGTAACAGAATTAGTCTGGACATACTGGGGTAAATATGAAAGATAACATTTGTCAGTTGAATGTTTAAAACAGCATTACCTGACCCAGGAATCAAAAATAAAGTTAATTTGATATGGGCTTTTTTTTTTATAGAAGGGAAATTCATGGTCCCTGTCAGAGGACAGAGTAGTTGTGGCAGGAACACCCCTTGGCCTCCTCTCTCTCCCAGCTGACATCTTTGTTATCTGGCACCTGGATCCTCCTGCCTGGTCAGTCCCTGTGCTGTTCCCACACACACACATCCCCACTCAGCTGTTCCCACATTCCCACTCAGCTGTTCCCACATTCCCACTCAGACACTGCACTCAGGATGGAGGGATATGTCTGTGCTCCAGACAGTGGGATATTCATCACATGCCCTCTTGGAAAAGAAAGACACCCTAGTGGCTGAGGTACTGGTTCCAGAAGAATTCATTTTCCTTTCCTTGCTCAAAATTGCTTTATTTCAATTCTTAATTTCTTAATGCTTCAGCTATCCCTTTGTAAAATGGGGATAAAATCTTCCTTTTGTCTATCTAGACTGTAAGCATTTTGCAACAGGCACCTGGTTTTGCCAGGTACACCAGAAGGCTCTGAACACAGGACATGCTCGTATTTTAAGTTAGAATAAGGAACTCTGGCAACATATAAGAAAAAAATTAAATCTGTTGTCTTTTGCAAAGGGCTAATTCTGATAGTTCTTCTTGACCTGATGTCTGCATTTCCTAGTTTAAACATCTCCAGGAATGAAACCAGGGTGATAGTCAGTAAAAATAGAAGAGGGATGACAAGTCTTGTTTTGGCCCAAAGTCTGTTGAAGTAAATTGAAAAACAGTCCTTTTGCTTCAATACTTCGTAGATCAGGCATTTTCACTTGGAATGGACTGAAGGATTTCACAAGTGAAAGGTTTCCACAAGACCTAGTTCTGCTCCTGTGCTTCCTTCACTGGGAAGGAAAATCTCACTGCTACTGAAGGAGGAGAATGAGTCTTTTCATTTACACTGGATTTTCTGAAAAAGTAAAAGGTCCTGGCAACTCTGCCTTTTGAACAAATATTTTCTGCAGGAGCACTTGAGAATGCTTGTCTTAAAGCAGATTGTACTTCAGCATTTGTGTACTAAGAGTTTGGGATATTCTGGTTGAGACCCCCTTGATTTCAACAGGAATCTTTCCATTCACTTTGAAGAACTTTGGGTCATGCCCTAGTAGTGCAACTCTAGAAGGTTTCTATTCCATTTTCACTAAAGATGTACATTTTATTTTTGCAAAATGATTATCATTACATGGAAAAATAGTGTAGTACTTTAGTAGATTTACAAAGATAAATGCCACTGTGCCTCTGAGGAGGTTAAGTATCCCTGGAAAAGCTATTTTTCATTATATTTGTTTAAATTAGAGAGGGGGAGATTACTTTAATTTTGAAGGGTTTAGTAATTACTAGCAGCTCTCATAGCTGTGATACAATATAAAGGCAGCTCATTTAAAAGTACATCCTTTACTTTACAACTAAACCCTCTGTAGAGTCTTGTCCCTGTTGTGCTGCTGCTGCTTTTCTTTTTAATTACACCTGTATTCATCTCTGATTATCCTGACAGAGGTGATATATGTTTGTGGAATTTTCCACACTTCTTCTGCATAAGCATAGAACAATAAATTGTGGTGCTTTAGTATGTGTATCATGTTCCCGTGTTTTAGGTCTGAATATCTCTAGCTTATAAGCAACCTGTCTATTTAAATGTGCAATCCACAGGTGCCTGGCCCTAATGTATCAGTAAAAGGCTTTATTCATTATCACAAAAAGTTTTTAAAATCTTTCTTCCCTATCCAGGGTTCAAATGGGAATCACTGTGTGAGTGCCCACGCCATGACACAGCACCCCTCTGCAAAGCAGGATGCTCCAGCTGCGTGCAGAACTCCAGCTCTTCCAGCCCTTCAGCAGCTGGACACAGGTGTACTGGGGAGCAGGTGGCCCTGGGAAACAACTTGGTGGGACTTCTGCAGGGATGGGAACCCAGAGTTGGAACTGGAATGGGAAATGTCACTGGGAGAGCCCAGATGGTTTCAGAGAATGATAGCGGGAGACCAGTGTAGAGAAGGGAGCCTGATGGGCTCGAATGGAAAAGATGGGAAATGCCACATGTTTATCAGGAGAGGAGAAAGGTAGGAGTGATGGTCTGGGGGAAAGAACTGGTGCAGCAGTGGGGCAGAGCAGGCCCAGCAGGCAGCAAACACTCCCCCTCACCCTGAGCTCATTCCTCATGGGCACATTCGGCCTTTGAGAGGAAAGACAGTGGCAGTTACTTTGACAGGACAAAGTTTGTCTCCCTGCTGTGTTTTCACTTTGTTTTCTGTCCTGCTCCCACTACAGGTATTTCTCAAGGAAATCTCCCACCATCTCCTCTCCAATTCTATCCACATGAATTTTCCACCATCATTTTCCCTGTTGCTTTATGTCCCTTTGTTATTTCTTGACTAATCATCCTGTTGGGAAGCTTCAAATTGATTTGTGTAAGGTGGGTTTTGTCTTCATGTACTAAATCACTGCTGAACAAAGTTTGGTATCTGTGTCTGCTGGCTGATAAACATCCACCAAAAATATCCATAAACATTCCTGCATACAACTTCAGAAGCTTGGCTGAAATAGATTGAATGGGACATAAATGTATAAACTCCTCAAAGGTAAACAAATTCTGGAATTGCTGGTGAGTTTTCAGTTTGACTGCAGCTGTAGGGATATGCTGAGATACTGACTTATTTCAGACAAGCCAGAGGTAAAGAAGCCATACAAAATTACTTCAGACTTTTAATCATGTAAAAATGTAGGTAACAGGAATACTGACCTCAACCTTAGCAAAGGCTAGATTTTTAAAGAAAATTGTATATAAATGGGGACTTTTTGCTTCTCTATTTCAACTCAGGAGCTAAGTGGGAGAATTCAAAATCAGGCCAAATACATAAGCGCAGGATGAATGAAAATGGATTGAAATGAGTTGAAAATTAATTTAATTACAACATATTACAGTGATGCATTCAATAGTTGCATCTCATACAGCATTTGGCAAGTAGGAATCCAAATTTTGTCCTGAGGCCTGTAAACACAACAGTAAAAAAAAGTTCCCTTTCTGAATCCTCAAGAAAAGTCTTAGGAAGAATGGCCTTTGCATGGATGCATAAGCTGTCAAAAATACTACAACGATTAAATACCAGTAATTGAAAATTTATTGCATAATTTAAGAAAATCTTGCACATTTAAAAGGTAAGAAGTAGGACTAAGCCTCCAAGCAGCAATATATTTAAATATTTAAATGAAATTCCTATCCACAAGAGAGAAACTGCTATTTATGACATGAAGGCAAATCTCTGCTGTGAGGATAAGAACAGCAAAGAGCAACCAGAGCATTTTACTTCATTTTCAAATGTCAGGTGTTAAGTTGGGAAAATTTGCATGTGGCCATGGTTTGAGCTGTGCTTTGGCCCCACTCTTTTGTGCCACTCATCCTGCCTTTCCCACAGGGAGAGGTGGGATGTTGTGTCCAGAAAGGGGATCCTCCCTCCCTCCCTCCTTCCCTCCCTGTGCTTTCAGGCAGTGTGACTCTCTGGGTGATAAAGCCTGTCTGATGCTGCAGGAGAGAAGGATTATTAAGGCTTTACACAGTAGAGGTGTGATCTCGTTCCAGGTTGGCTTCTTCTATGGGAATGTTCCAAATGACATCTGATATTTAACCATAATTGAGACATTTAGAAGCAAACTGATATTTTAGAACAGCCACTCCCCCGTTTTCTAGCATTGTATCGTTGTGAGCTGCATGTAGCATAAAAATTACCATGAGATTTTTCTGTTTCATTCTCCGTTCTTAACCCATAGGTAAAACTCTTGGTCACAGATACATCCTATTAAGCTCTATCATGATAATGGCTGTTTTTCACAGGAGCTTACATAATGCCAAAGTCTCTCTTAAGCTCTGGAACTGAGAGGATCCCTACACCTTATATTGGGAAGGGTCATCATGCAGCAATCTTTTGTAAATAAAGTACAGAAATAGGAGGTGAAATCCAGCAACCCAAACATCAGGTTGAAATAATATGCCAAAATATGATACAATGTGGGTTAAACCATAATATATATCTCTGTACATAATGAGAGCACTCAGAAAACATAACATTTTTAGCATCTGAATAAAAAATAATTTAACAGAGCAAACTTGTGTTTCAGGAAAGAGTGAGTACCATGCAGGAGATGGATAGTTTTAACTCACCACACTCTAAGTGGGAGGGGTTCCTAAGCAAAACTGCATGTTAACCTGAAACATGGCTATGGTCTTTTGTATCTGTAATTATGGGATCAGGAATTCACAAATGTATCTTTTGGCAGTACGACACACCTCATCCACCCACTTGCCTTGGGACGAAAGAGAAAAAACCACACAGTTCTCACGCTTGCCCCCATTGGGCTGGGCACGATCCCAGTTGAAGTACTGCAGAACCATGCCATTGACATCAACAAATTTCCCTTCATTTACCATGTCAGTGACCCCCAGCCAGAACTCGGATGCTCTGGGCGTACTTCTCTTGCCGTAATCTCGAAGAATGTTTGTTTCCTCGCTATTCCTTGGGATAGCCAGTGTCCCTCCCTTGGTTATGCAGTCTTCATTGGCTTCATGGAAATGCTTGGTGCCTTCTGACATGAGGTAGCACTTCTTATGGGCCTTTGTCCCACGGAGACACACTGGGAATAGAAATGAGTTTGTACGTTCAGTACAAGTGTGGGCAAGAGCTTTCAATAATGGTTCTTCTAAAGATAATTTTCTAAAGGTATGTTGAAAATGGAGCAGACAAGTCCCTCAGCAAGTGAAAGGCTTTGACTTCACAGAGTGGAGTTTCTTCTTTTACTGAATAATCCTGCTTTCACACATTTTTTACCTTATTTCATCAGTCTTGAATGGATAAGTTATGGATGTTTGTATTGCTGGCAGATGTGAATTGGTCATCAGGAAACCTTTATCTGACTTTATAGTAGAGACAGATCTAAATGTCTTTTAATATTTATGCTATTTAAGTGCTAAAGTAAAGTAAATTTTTATACCTTAACTAAGCTCAGTTTCCAGCAAGCAAAGGCAGAAGTGAAAAGTGCTGTATTAAATGTGTCCTGCTTACCAGAAAAAAGATTGATTTGAAATTTATAATGCAAATCTTTGAATGATTGATAAAAGTGTATTTCCACTTGCAGAGTTCATATTCACCTCTTTAGGTGTTAATTTCTTTCCAACAAAGTCCCCCCCTTCAAACTCTAAATTCAAATGAAGTAAAGTGACTTACATCTATAAGCACTTTTTAAAAGTGCACACTTATTACTGAGTTTGCAGGACAATCTGGACCAAATCTTCTAACTATTTGCATTTATAAATCTGTTTGCTTTTACTTCTAGTGGAAAATATAAGGGAAGTCTTGATGTAAAGTCCAAATGCACTAGAACATTAATTTGGCATATGCTCTGTAACTGGAATTGCCTTGCAGAGCCGCTGTCGGAGTCCTTCCAGCCCAAGGTCTGTGAGGGAATCCTTAAACTTTGCTTTCCAACTCTCCTAATGCAGATATGTGAAAAACTGATTCTCCCAAGAAAAATACTTACAGCAAGAGAACCCTCCTTGATGGAGTGTTCCTTCTGAGCTGAGGAAGGTAGCAAAGGCCTTGAATAAACTCCTGTGACAATTACTTTTAGAATCCTACATGTGGCTACTTACAGATTATTTCATTTATTGCTTAACCCCATCTTGTACTTACAACATCTTCTGCCCTGATGTTTTCTATAATCTGTTTCTAATTCCTGTCATCTGTTCTTGTAAGAAAGTAATTATGTCTCTGATCAACAGGATATGGAAATCCACTTTGGACCATATCCTATGTCTCAGTTTTTAGTATTTCCAGTTGTAGTATTCACTGCATTCCTTAGCTGCATTTCATGGTCATAATTTTATATTAGGGCTTAAATTTCAAATTTTAACCCTTCCAACTGCTAATGGCCAAAGAGGAGTAATGAACATATTTGTTAATGTGGAATGCTTTAACAAATTTATGTTTGTGGGAAAGATCAGAGAGACTTTATCTACTTCAGCAATGCTGCATCAATGATAAAGACAGGCCATCTTTAGGGAGAAAGTATGTATTGCAAAGTGGTGTGTGGCAGCATTTCGCATTTCACACCATCTAAAAAGGAGACCTAGGAAACTCAAGCAAAAGAAGATTTTTAATGTGTATTTTAGAAATGTCCATAAGCTAAAAAAGCAGCTCCTTTTTCAGTTATCATAAGGATATTAACAAATACAGTCAGAGCTGGGGTGGTGATAGGTCTCTTTTTGTCAGACTTGGAATCCAGTTGAACAGTGTGGGTTATGAATTTAGAATAAAGTTCAAAATAAGTTTTGAGGATAAAAAATCTCCTGGCTCTGGTTTCATTTCTAAACCATTGCGTGCTTACTCTCAAGCTCCTTCTGGAAGCAACACAAGAGTTACTTTTAAACAAGAGTTACTTGTCTAGCACAGGCTCTCTCTTTTAAGAAACTTCTAAAGCCTTATTGTAAGACATTTGAAATAAAAATATTTTGTAAAGCTCAAAAAGCTCTATTTAACCCAAGGCATAAAACTGGACAACCCAGATATTACCATCCCTAAGGAAAATATGTTCTGTTTCATGGGAATGATGTAATTTCCTCTGTAGTGCCTTCTTGTACAAGATTAAATACCAAATTTTATGTCAACAGCTGTGAAAAAGCACAACTGTCTAGTAGGTGCATGTGTATTTATCCTTCTGATTTTGTTTGGAAATTTCCATCTGGTTATTTAAATACTTAAAGGACTCTGCACATTGGTGCAGGGCATTTCTGAACTCACAGTGGATATAACTTCGAAGTTTTATGGCAACATTCAAATTTGAATGTTGCAAACTGCACATTTTAAATAGGCTCTGTCCTTTTAGCTTCCTTTTTGGGGTATTCTCAGCCTTTTCCATGAATGCTTTTGCCTTTCTAGTTAGCCCATGTTCATATCAAAGCCGGGCACCTCGCTCTGACCATTTAAACCCTCAAACCCAGAAATCCTCATTGTGTTGCCTTTGATGATATCAAAACTCACAGCTCTAAGTTGTGCAAAGACAAACGTAATTTTTGTTCCAGATTGACTCTTGCTCTCAGTGAAGAATCACCACTTGTTCAGACTTGATTTTATTTGAATCCTTGCTTCCTTGTCTCACTGGTACAGCTGTGGCACACCATGCTCTTAAGCAGTTGTATACCTTAGTCACAAAATCCCATGAAAGAAAGGGATGGGAGTGAAGGGGAGAGGAGAGGCACTGAGAACTTCTGGAAGCCATTGACCAGTGTAAGCTGCTTTACCTGTCTGGAGTGCTTGCATTTCTTTCAGAGCATTTACTTCTCGCCACAATTTGTCAATCTGGGTCTTCAGGTCATCTTTTTCTTAAATAAAATCAATATACATAAAATAACAGATATGCACACACACACACACAAATTAAAAAATTATATATTAAAAGCTGTTTCAAAATATCATGGGTTGCTGCATTGCTGAGATGTGTTTTGATTATTTTTAAAGATTTGTCCTTAATGAAAGAATTCCTGCAGGATTCCTGCAGACCTGTGTTACCTCCCCAGTCCTCCAGCTGCACCCTGGAAAGCTCCTCTCCACATTCCCTGCTGCCTGTGGGTATAAACCTCGCTGTCCTTCATGGCTTCCCCAAGGCAGGACTTCAGGTTCTCCAATCTGTGCTACTCTGTGCTGGCACAAAAGGTGTATAAGCAGTCTGTCCTTAGGATTCCAAACTTAAAACCCTGGACATTTCAATATCTATAACTGCATGGCTCCAGAGCAGTGCAATCTTCTTGTACAATGGCTTTATCAAAGCATTTTTTTCATTAGCCAGGAGTTCAAATATTTGCCACCAGTGTAACCCCCATCATACCCTCTTTTATTAGAAATAAGTCTTTAAATTAAATACACAGACATCTCCAAACAGCGTTCTGTGGTTTTGTATTTGCTCTGTAAGCTTTGCTGTGGGAATTGATCCTTTATCTTTTCCTGCTAATCCTTTTTCATTGGTTTGACTTGCCATTTCACAGTACTTTTCACACAAGTAGAGTAGTATTCCACAAGTATTAGACAGATATTCTGTTAAAATTAGAAAATGGTGCAAAAATCTGAACAATAATCCTTGGAGACTGAATACTTTATTCTGCTTTCCCCCCCCAAACATGAATTTCCATTTTTCTGATTTTAATCAATATAACTGTGTAACTAAGAATGACTGGCCAGAGTCCTCTCTCAGCTGTACCTGTGAGTTCTAAATAATGTTGACAGAGGTAAACAGACATAACAGAGCAATATATTTACAGCTTCTATACTGCTCTATTTCCATAACTCATACTGGCACCTTATTCTTGGCTTTGCTAACTCACGTATAAATGTTTTAAAGACAAATATAGTACAGACTCAAATGTCCTTTGTTATTAAGCATTTGTATAATGTAAGTTTCTGGTTCATGCAATGCTATTTAAAGTACACAGTAAATTTGCATAGACTATAAGCTTCTATCCCTCCTCCCAGTTAAGACCCAGTACCTTTCACTCTACGTTTGCTGTGCCTCCTGGCTTTGAATTTGGAAGCCTGGCTGATGGTCTGATCCACCAGTAGTAAACTTATGAGCAGGAAAATCATAAGTCCAGTTTGTGCCATGTCTCTTTGAAAGACCTTAACAAGGACCTTCAAGAGATTCTCTTCAGCAGCTCTGAGAGCAAGTCACACAGACACATCTCAGTGGGGACTGCCCGAGGTCAGGTTTATAAAGTGTGGTGGTAGGGTTGGCTGTGCTCCTTGCTTACGAACTGTGTGTAATACTTAAGCTGGCTGTAGCATAAGACACCCCCTTGTTCTCATATCCCATCTGAAATTCCTATTTCCATTTTGAGCTCAGCTGTACCAGCACTGAACAGTGCACTGATTGCCTCACTTGTAAGCGCCGTATCTCCTGTTTTAACATTGAAGCCAAAATGTATGGAAGATCAGATGAATGCCCAAAACCACGCTGTGCAATGCCAGCCCCAAAGAGGGGGAGCCAGAAGATTTCTACAAATGTCACAGGCTCACCCAGAATGGCTCTGTGCCAAGCTGGTTAAGTCATGACAGTGACCATCCTCTTACACTGAAACAAAACCAGAACATCCCTCCCTGTGTAAATGCAAACACTGCAACTACAGACCCACGTGGAGTATATATACAGTAAGATCACATTATGTGAGGGGTGCATTTATTGCTTTATGAAGAGTTAATAAATGCCTGATAGATATGACTGCATTTCTGAGTCAGAACAGTCCATGCAACCAGCAGGGTCTAATCAGGGGAACAAAAGGTAGTAATGCTCTTCCAAAGGTTCCCAAGTCCTGTCTGTAGGGTCTAAGGAAGAGTAAAACACAACATGCTTGAAGCAGGACAGTGTCTCTCTGGATTCTTGAGAACTCTCTGCATTTGGATTTCTTTCATTTACTCTTGGGCTCTGGGGACTTTTGTGGGGCTGCCTTTAACTGGGGTTGCTGTGGGAAGTAGAACCTCTTACTGATTTTAGTGGACAAATGAAATTGTCACAAAAACGTGCCCATCCATCACATTTCTCCTTTTTTTTTTTGTTTTGTTTTGTTTAGTTGTTTGTTTGTTTGTGTTTGTTTTGGTTTTTTTTTGTTTCTTTTTTCCCCACTGAGAGAGAGTTGGTCTAAAATGTTGACACCAAAGCCATTGCTAGGTGCTGGGTGCTGGCAGGTGTAGTTCATGCCCTTCAGAGCTGTTCTTCCAGACATCCCTTTGCCATTTCTGCTTTGACTACATTCTGCTGCCTTTTTTTCAGAACTGCAACAGCAAGAGACTTATTGCTTTACTAAATGAAAGCTGAGATTTAGGAACATGCTGGTGTACTACATAAATGCATACTAGCTTTTTCCAACCCCCACATAGAGTCTAAAAGCACTTCATGACTTACAATGCACACCTCCCCCATGTGTCCTGGACACCTTTAAACAACTTGCTGTACTCTCATAGTCGGTAACTAGTAATTATCTCCTAATCATTAGTTAAGAAACTCTCCATAAATGCATCCCGATGTAATAAAACTTAGTTCCAGTGGTCCTGCTCCAAAATATTTAAGTATTAACATACATTTGGTAGGGAAACCTCTGAATTTTTGTGGTTGCTCAGTTCTCAGTGCTATTACAGAGCACAGCACACTGGAAATGGCTGTTGTGGGTCCCACCCATCCAGAACTGCCCAAAACATCCCACAGAGCTGCACATTTCAGTCCATGGTAAACGTGGAATGGGCTGGCATTCCAATTAGCACACCAGGAGCTGAAACATTAGCTGGTGGGGAGGAAAACAAGGAGCTTTGCAAGGGTCTAGTTCAAGATTTGATCTTTCATTTAGAACAAGCCCTAAGTTCAGGCTTGATCCATATTTTATTCCAGTGATATTAGGGCATCAATACAAGTTAATTAAGGGCAGATGGCTGAATCAATAACTGCCTCCAGTTAGTTTTTCACTTGGTGCCTTCTCAGATCTTGTGGAATTGCACCCAAAGCTGATCCTGAACCACTGGAGCTTACAACCTGACTAATTAAACTAGTGCTAATTCTGGGTTACCTTGATAAGGGAGCTTTAAACCCCTGGAGCTGTTTCATGTGGAGCTTAACTGTCCCACAGGCTTTGGGGGAGGCAGGACCAGTAGCTGGAGTCAATAAGCCTTTTAGTGTGCGTGTTTAAGGTCTCAGGATCAGAATGGATTTGTTCCTGCCCCAAGGAACTTGAGTTTGCTAACACAGGCTTCTTTTCTTTCTCTGAAATGAGTCTGACAGAGAAAGATTTGTACTCTACTGAGGTAACACACACCTCACTAGAAATGGAAGGATAAAGAAAACACAGATCTGGTATTCTGACAGTTCCTGGCCAAGAGTCTGAGTAAAAAACCTGCTTTTTGGAGTATGCCATGTAATGTCCTTTTAAGAACAGGGCTGAAATTCTGTTTTGAAAGCTTCAATGCCCTCGTTCACTAGTCTCTCTGACCATTTAACCAGTTTGCAAGCAGCTCAGCTGGACTTCACCCCTAAAAATGGTATCACAAAGCTGCCCTTGCAGCTTCTGGGATAGACCACAAGGATGTAGGGTCTAGAATTCATCTAGAGCACCTGAGAAATAGCTTCCATACTTATGACTAATCTACAGCAACTGAGGAAGCAAGTTTAACTTCTTGTATATGGTATGTGGGCAGGAGATCCAGAAAAAAGTCAAAATATGCTGCTGAGAAGATGTAACCTCCCAGTGCTACTGTGAGGAAGCAGGAAATGGAGCCACACAGGAGGCCTAGAGCCTCTCTGAAGTGAGTACCTGGTCTTGTATGGGCTTGAAACAAACATTATAATGTCATTTAGAGATGGAATTTTTCTTTTACTAGCATAGTTACAGTAATATAATACAGCCCAGGGAGTGAACATAATTATATATGAATAGAAGTAATTTATTCCTGGAACAAATTATTCCACTTTCCATAACAGAATGTGCTATACAAATATAAATATTCTCATAGTTTTATAGCTGCATCCAGACTAGGATGGAATCATGCTTTTTTTATTTGCACCAGTACAGTAGAACTTGAGCATACAAGACAAAATTGTGGTTTCTCTTGAAGTGCTTAGTTCACTTCAAAGCACTCTTGAAGTGCTCTGTCTGGTAAGAAACATCTTGCAAAAGCCATAGCTGTACTGCACTGGCACCAGGGGTTTTGGCTCCCGTCTCCCCACCTCATTCTGTTTGCTTTCAGACAACTGGACCATTCAGAGCAAAACCATCCTTTGGTAAAAGGTTTATTTCAGTTTCTCCACAGAGAGTCTTCAAGGTAAAACATCTATTTACTTCAGAGACAGTTCTGCCTTTATATGCTCCTGTTAATTGGCTGAGAACTGTTCATTCAGCTGCTCTTTCCTCTTCATTCTCAGCCACCCCTGGGTTTCTGGAAAGAACAGGCAATGGGACAGAGTATGAGAAATCAGTGTGAGATGAGGACTGGATGCTGGGCTGAGCTCCTGAAATAGGTCTGGCTGCAGAAGTACCACAGTACTTATAAAAAGTAAAAATCTTTAAAAAGATGTAGTGCTCCAGTCTGTTGGAAAGTGAACTGCTCACATGTTGCCAGTAGACTGTCTGTGTTTTACTGAGACCTACAGTCCCCTCGTGCTTCAGAGCTAATTGTGCTGGGGGATGTTTGACCAAATGGGAAATGGATGGGCTGCATCTGCTACTGGAGTCAGAGCAAACACTTGTTTTTTGCAGCATTTCAATTCTGGAAAATTCAGCTCAGCTTCAGGATTTGTCAAAAAAAGCCTTGTATGTGAGTAACCATTTGTCCCTTCTGCTCACTATAAAGAGAAAATGAAAACTGAACAGAGCTGTTGCCAGGCTAAGGAAGTGCAAGTGGGGCAATCTAAAGAGCCAGTATGGCCAACAAAAGTAGGTAACACAAAGATTAGGGAAAGATTTATCACCTCTGACACATCAGTTTTTACCACTGTCTTGGGTGCTAAATGGGATCCACTGGTTGATTTTTATTTGTTTCAATTTAATGTAGCAAATTTTGCAAACTCTCCAAGTCACGGATTATGTCATGTTTGGAAAATTACAGTAAGCTCGGTTTCTTTGGCCTTGAAAAGTCTTGCAAGTCTTTCTTAAGGATTTGATCTCAGTCTAGTCAGGTATGAGGCAGGATTATGGCTGACATCCCAATACCAAAGCTATTTTGGGGAAATTTGTGCAAACAAACCACGTTTAGAAAAGGGAAGGGCTGGCCTTATGGTATGGGAGGTTTTGTGAAACTTATTAATGATGTTTTGGGGGTTTGCCACCAGTATCAAGTTTTTTCCTGTCATGCTAATTTGGTGTTCTGAAAGAAAATTTGCTGTGTACGAGTCATCTGCTCTGTCTGTCAGCATTAAAGGAGGTCCCAGGTTTATTGCAGAACCAGGCTGCCCACCAGTGACCTGCACTGAATGTCACGGAGGTTTGAAATGAGGGCATTCATGTCTTCTTTAAATATGTGATGCTGCTCTCCCAGGCACGTGCCTCACCTTGGCACTGTGGCACTGATACTGGGATTGATCAATAAATTGGCTTCTCAGGGTGGTATTTTCCTGTTCCAAACTGAGCTGTTATTACCTACAGGTCTGGTGCTTTTCACTTCCCATGCTTTAAACAGAAGCTTCAAAAAAAGAAGAAATTGCAGATATAAATAATGTATGTGTACTGAAAAGGAATTAGGGCAGTATTTCGAGCTTCTGGAATAAGTGCTCTTTGTATCTCTGATTTTGGGGTCATTGTAACAAAGCACCTCACAGCTCAGTCTCAGCAAGCAGAGAGGAGGCGAAATGGTTTGCAAGAGGCAGCAGAAAGACTTGTCTTACACCTATCACAGATATTTAAGGCAAATAGCATCATCTTGTCTATGTGACCAAACTGTCTCACCTGTATTCCTTTAATTCTCCTGTAATGGCCGTGAGTATGGATTATAGGTTGTAAAGTGGAGAAAATGCAGTTTATCAAAGTCAGAAGAGACTTGGAATTCAGAAGAGATTTACCAAATCTACACAAAGCAACGTGAAAAAAGCCACTGAGCTCTTCTTTTGGTTACCTGTCCACTGCAGTCTGCACTGACATTGTGCCTTTTAAAGATGTCCAGGTGTCTCAAAGGAATCACGGAGTTGCCAAT